ATGTATTTCTTCCAGGAGAAAATTTCTGGACTATGGTATTAAGGATTACTATGGCCTCTCCCTACCTTTTTTTTAACCACTCCTTCTCTCGTGTATATTCACCAATGTTCAGACCTCAGAGTGGTTCAGCATTACAATACACATTTAGAAGGAAGTTCAACAGATTTACTGTGTTAATTTTGAATACAAAAGTTTTGTATAGTGGCCATCATTACCCTATCATTACCCATTCTATAGCAGTGGGAAGAAAAACTATTTTCTATACACAGAAAAAGGTAGATAGTTTAGTAGGAGAGAAACACTCTGAAGTCAACAATTAATTTTGAAATTGGGTTGAGGATTCTTGTTCTGTGATATTTTTGTTTTAAGATTTCACATCTGTTTAATTACTAGGTTACTTATCCACCAGTGTAGAGTACGGGCAATGGAAGGTATATCTTTCTGTTGTCACTTTCATAGAGACAATATTTATTGAATTAATGTTTCCAAACTACAGTCATGTGCCACATAATGATGGTGTGATCAATGATGGGGCACATATATGACAATGTTCTCATAAGGTTATGTCTCCTAGTGATATTGTAGTTGGCTTAGTCTATTCTGTGATATTCATCCAGTGATGAAACTGTCTAATGATTCTGTGATGGTTAGCCTTTAAGTGTCAACCTGATGCCACCTAGACTCACCTGGGAAGACACTCTCAATGAGAGACTGTCTACATTGGGTTGTGGGCATGTCTGTGGGGATTGTCTTAATTAAGTTAACTGATGTGGAAAGAGCCAGCCTACAATGGGTGGCACCATACCCTCATACCCTAGGCAGAGGGTCTTGAACTTTTTAAGAGAAAGCCAGCTGAGCAAAGGCAGACAAGCAATGAGCATGCATGCATTCACTTCTCTCTGCTCTTGACTGGAGATGTAACTATGGAAATGACTTTCCCTGGAATGCCTTCTCTTACAATTGGAAATCTTATCTAACCTTTTAACAAAAGCTAATCTTATGTTTTGAGATCATTTAACATCATCAAAGCTAGTTTACATTGTAAACAATCTCGCTAGGCCTTGGGCTCCTCTTGTAGCCTACAATATAACTTTAATTTATCATGACCAGTCTTTTCTCCTGTCCCAAAATAATGTATATGTGTATGTGTGTTAATGAAAATACTAAAACTGAAATCAGTAAATATCATCGGAAGCAACAAATCACCCCTTGTTTATGTTGCAAATGAAAGGTGAAATTAAATTGATAACATCTGCTTGTGGTGGTTTATGCTGTTCTGAGTTAGTAGGGGGGTCAAAAATGGAAAATTCTTTCCTAATAAGACAAAGTTCCTCTTTTCCTTTTCCATATTGTGCTGTATGTTCAATAAATACAGAGCAAATTATTTGTTGGAGTGCAATTCCAAGAGAATTTGGAAGGAACACATCCTCAGAACAGATTGGGCTCACTCTTGGTTGTAAATGATGCCAAAAGTCAGGCTGTCTTTATCTAGGCCCTACCATGTTGTGGCATTTCTTCTGCCACATCTGTGACTAACCTCTTCCAGCTCATGAGACTGTCACTTTCCTATTATAATGACCTAGAACCTGGACCTGTAAGCTGACACAAACCTCTTTCCTCTATGTTGCTTTTAGTCAAGGTATTTTATCACAACAGAAACAAAACTAGAACAAACCCATTTCTCAGGATATATTCCCTCATAAAGTTTCACAAATAGCTACTTAACCTCAAGTATCCCAAAATAGTAATTTATAATCTAAATGGACTTCCTCATTTAATGTGAAGCAATGTAAAACAACAAAGCCCAAATACCACTTGGAGTTTTTGAAAGAATAAAAATGAATGGAGAAAATATTTTGCCTCTGGTGAGATATTCTTCCATTTAGCTACATAAAATGATCCTATATTTCTCATTATAATTTCTTCCAAGAGGAGAATATATGTAACCACTGGGAAACAAATTAACCACAAGATATTAAACCCACACTAAAATGAATATAAAAATGTATGGACATTATAACATTAAGTATTAATTACAAAGTAAGTCATTTTGAAATTATCCTCAAAATAATTTATGAAAGTGATTTTTTAAGTACAATGTAACCTGTTTTCATTTCTTTTAAAGGAATTTTCCTTTGAACAAATTAGGCTTTCCCTTGTATTCGATTATCAGCCCATTTAAGACATTTTTTAAAAAGACATGAAAGGAGAAGGGGGACTAGTTGGGAAAAGCAAGGGGACCAACGAGGCAGGCAAGAGTGAGTAATGAGAGTGAATACAATAAAAATACATTACACACATGCATGAAAATGTTACAGCAAAACACATTGTTATACATGGTTAATATATGCTAAGAATACATTCTTAAAAGATTTCTGTGCAAAACAGAGCTAAAATCAAAGGTACTCTGTTAATTCATATCATAAAAACTGAAATCACTGGTCTAATATTCTTCCTTAAAACAGTAGTAAACACTGCTTAAAATTACAAATAGGTATATTTAAGTGTATTTATTTATTTTATGTGTATGTTCTGCATGCATCTATGTAAGTACACCCATTTTGTGCAAAGCCTGCAGAGGCCAAAAGAAGGCATTGAATTCCCTGGAACTGGAGTTAAGGAGAGTTGCTAGCCACCGTATGGGTGCTGGGAACTGAACCCAGGTCCTCTCCATGAACAGCCAGTGCTCTTAACTTCTGAGCCACCTCTCCAGCCCCACCAATTTGCACATTTAAAATGCAACTTTTTCTTAAAGTAGGAAGATTAGGTTACTGCTAAATTTATAATGCCAATATTAAAAGCTCAAAAATAAAGTCTTAAAAATGAAAAAATAAGAAACACGAAATGAGACAATTGGCAACCATGTGGCTAGGGGCTAAAATAATAAAGTGCCTGGAAAAGGCCTCGCAGGGATCATTGCTGTTTTGTTTTTTCATTGAAAACCAAAACAAGGGCACAAGCTGGGAGCCAGAGCTCTCTTGGCAGCCCCAGAGTAAAAATTAAGTTTCAAACATGTCCTACTCACACAGATGCAAGCCAGGGATGTGACAGAGGAGGGGTCCCAACTGTCCCTGGAACACCGGGAAGGTATTAACGCACAATTTTAGTTATACCTGGGATACTGCTTGCTTAGCAAGTACAAGGATAGTATAAAGAATATCTATTGAAATCACTATTGGTGTTAATGTTCATTTGAGTTCTTGTTATTGCCACTCCTGATCCTCATTTTCCTGAAAATAAGCAAAGATATTGGAGGATGGGCAATTTAACCTTTAACTGAAAGCTACTGAAGTCTCCTTTATGACCCTTGCTGCCTTGAACATACTGTACTCATACTGTCAGCCAGACTAAGCCAGCACCAGCTATTTTAAACACACCAGAGAAACCATCATATGGCTACATGACAAAAGCTGATGGCTCCAGCTTCTTGAAGCAGAGCTTCAGTCAAGAGCGTTTCAGTTTACAGCAGACTTTTTTGTTATCACAGACCTCCATGTACTCTAGATGGTCCTGCAATGATCTCTACTGAGGCCAGAGCAGGAGCACTTCTGGTGGCCTAGCAGATGAACAGATGTGGCCCATGCTAAAGAGACAATGCTGTGATTTGTTGAAACCCTTCTACTGTGGCTATAAGAGCAGACTGTTTGGCTCACTATATGCTTCCCCTAGTGTTGCAACTTCAGGGCTAATAAAAGGCTTCTCTGAAGTAGTCTTCTCTTCCCTATTTTTATCAGTGTGGGCTGAGCTGTTAACGTTTTTAAAGAAGCAGTAGAAACTGCAGAGAGGCAGCAAGGTGGAGGCAGTGGTGCTACAGTGGCCACAGGAGCAGTGCTGAGTAGTCAGCAGGCTGAGCTGCAGAGGCAGCAAGACAGTCAGCTGCTTAAAGCTGAAGAAGACACAAATGAACAGTTGCAGTTCCAGTGCAGGAACAAGAGTAGGGCAAAAGCAGAGAGGGTGGAAAACTGACACTTGAAGGGTCGAAGGTCAGAGAAAAGGCCCTGCAGGCCATGATTGCTGGAAGTATTACAAAAGCTGTCCAGCCTTTAGGAAAAGGGGTCTCAAATATCCCAGGGCCAGGAGCTATAACATCAGCTGCTGTCAAGGGTTGAGGAATGTCAACTTCCTGGGCCTACACAGTTGAGCTATGGGACCCAGAACTCTAAACCTACCCAAGAGTTGTAACACTAGATGGTGCTACCTGCCTGCTGGCTGCCACCATTTGTTGTGGTCAAACATTAAAGGATACAAAAGTTGCCAAAGATTCATCACTTGAAGAACTTTTCATTGCTTACCCATAATTTTTATGTAGAGAAAAAATATCTCAGGCATTTGGTAGGTAACAGGGTCAACCTCCTGAGTACCTACCTGCCTTACCCTCAGTTAAAGCTGATCAATAAATGGCCCATAACTGAGGTTGGGAGTTGATCAGTAAGGTCCAGACATTCTGTGTAAGTTTGAATTCCTAATTTGTATGAAAGAAACTGAACAAGAACTATAGACAAGAATTTTTCCTATAGCAGTCACTCCTATTCCTTTGTTCCAGAGGCTGCCACCTGACTTGCTGCTGGTCAGAGCTGCGTCCCCCACCTAGCTTGAGCAGACACCCTGCCAAAATCTTTGCCTGCATCCACTGGGGTCCAGATTCTTGTCTATTGTTTCTGGACCCAAGAACCTGGCTCAGTTAACACAAGTAATTAAAAGGTACAAATCGTTCATAAACATGTAGAAAGATATTCAGCTTCAATAAAAATTAGGATACTAATATTTAAAACTATAAAATTTAATCTCAAACTATCAGATTGGAAACAAATCTTGAGCATAAGCTTTCTTCTTTTAGTAGGACTATAAGTTGATAAATCTTGGAAGAGAATAGAATCAATCCTCTACTATTGTATAATATATTTGCATAATTTTTTTTGAGACGGGGTCTCCCTAGCCCCAGCTGGCCTGGAACTCACTACGTAGACCAGGTTGGCCTCAGCTTCACAGAGATCTGTGTTGCCTCTGCCTCCCCAGTGCTGGAATAAAAGGCATGCATCACCACACCTGGCTTTTTGCATAATCTTTGATGGAGGTTTAATTCTAATATTGCTACAAAATTGACATAAGGTACAGGATATATTCTGAGGGATGCTCATAGAAGATTACATATGAAGGTACACACACAGACCCCAGTAGGACCTCAATAGGACGAGACTTCCTACTCAGGCTGTAGAAAACTTGATAATCCATCAGCTGATAAGAAAAATATCTCTAGCAAACCAGCCCCTGCCCAAACAAAATCTTTATTGCATTATCATATTTTCTAACGCTACTAAAACATAGTATCTGAAGCTGGGTAATGTACTTCAAAAGGCAGCTTATTTGACTCACAGTTGTAGAGGCTGGAAGTACAAACAGCATGACACCAACTCTGGAGAGGACTCGGGGCAGAAGGCAAGATCAGGTACAGAAAGAAAGAGCTCAGGGGAGAGAAAGGCATTCAGGGAATACATTTTATGAAAGGCTTTATGAAAAAGGCTTTATGAAAGGCTTTGCTCATTATACAATCCATTCCTCAAGGACTGACTCAACTAACTGGCTGAATTCCACACTAAATTGATTTGATCCCTCTTCACACCTGTCAATAAGTGCTTAGCCAGAGAAGAGGTGTGCTCATTAGAAATAGTATTCATTTCAGCCTGTATTATTATATGTAAAGTGCTTACCCCTAAATCAAAAAATTATAGAAGATATAAAGAAACAAGGAAAAACAACATATGGAAAAGAGACAAAGCACTCAACATGACCAAGTTCACATAGGACACAGATGCTGCAACTTGAAATCATTGGGATGACTATGTTGAAGGCTCAGGATGAGCTTCACAATGTGTGTAAACAATCTTGGTGGAGAGGTAGAAATTCTAACACAGGACCAATGGATATGACAGAAATAAAGATCAGTTCATCCTATGCATTGGTTAGTGGATTCAAAACAGTTGAAAACTCAATAAACTTTAAAATAGGTCAGTTGAATTTACCTCAAATGAATCAGGCTATGTGCCAATAAATTTACAATAATAATGATAAGCATATTCAACTGTCTCTTTGTTTTTCCCTAAAATATCAGAAAAAAATTATAAGAAGTACATAATGGCACAAATAAGGCAATGCTTGTCATAATCCTACCCAGTGATGCTTACAGAATGAATTATTGCTGTTTGTCAATGAATACATTTAATCATTAGTTAGAAAAGAGAAATAAACTGGGAAATCACTTACGGTAATCTATGCTAAACTGAGCAACTCCAGAACCAGGGTAGTAGGAGCCCTTCTCCACATTGACAAAGCAATGCTTATTCTGTTTCCCTTGAATAATTTCCTTTGCTCCTAAGGCTCCTTGTTTCATCAAGTTCCAGCCCCGTATACATCCATCCAGACGAGGATTGATCTAACACAGTAAGATTCAGGTCAAGGAGTACATTTTAAACTTAAGACAGCTTAGAAATAGCTTTGAAAAATAGCTAAATAGATTCTTGGTGTAGGTTTCATTTGGGTGAAAAATCTTTTCTTTGATGACATTTTAAAATAGTTTAAATATTTCTCATTGAATCTGACTTTTTCTTTCAGATGGAGAGGATTTTTAGTAAAATGAGACTATGACCCTGCAGGCTTCCAATGGAATCCTACTGATTCTTAACTCATGAGGTCTGCCTGCTTCTCCATGTCATCCAACAGTAAGTTCTTTCTCTGCTTCTGCAGTGGCCCTGGGATATGATCTGCTTTCTGATTTTCTTTATGTGTGTTTACAATGTAAGAGCATCTTACCAACTCAGATTCTAATCCTCTTCAGGAACAAAATGCTTTCATTCTTTAGCAGTCATCAAAGCCAGTTTCAAGATATGTAGTACCCATTTTATAAATGATGCCTTTTGAATAACTTATTTTCATCTTAAAATAACTAAATTTATCAATTTCAAAAACAGGAATATTCATTTTGACATGGTTTAACTAATCCAGTTTAATATCATGCAGAAATCTATTAAAAAGTTAAAGTAACTATGAATTACAGTGAGTGAAAGGGAGACATAAGGTAGCAAATATTTAAATTAAATCAGCCAGGTTATCTGGCAGGATTATGATTTCAAGTGAAATTAAAAAAAAATTTAGAGTTCAGAGTTCATTTTATATCTATGAGTGTTTGTGTGTGTGTGTGTGTGTGTGTGTATGTGTGTGTGTGTGTGTGTGCACATACACCACATGCATGCAATGTCCATGGGTGCTAGAAGAGGGCATTGTATTTTCTGGAACTGGAGTTGAAGACTGGTATCTGGGAACTAAGCTGGGTCCTCTGCAAGAATGGCAAATGCTCTTAACTACTGAGCCATCTCTCCAGTCCCTTGAGTGAAATTTTTCAAACTCTTCAAAGGTAGTGATTAGTTTCTTTCATGAACTCTAGTCAATATTTATTTAAATAGCATTATATTCAGAATATCATCTGCTATAACTAACATTTCTTACATTAAGTTCCATCTACCTTCTATGCTACCCTTAGCTTCCAATTTGAAGTCCTAAATCAGACCTCAGAAAGGTCTTTGGCTTCAAAAGAAAATTGGAATTTGATTTTGGAATCAAATGGAAGTCTTCATATACTTAACAGTTAATGTGAAACATCACTATGAGAACATTGAACTGACAATTTGAGAATCAAAAAATCCAGTCCTCAATGAACAATGGTATGAATTTAAATAGACACAAAAATACAACAGTCATTTTCTTGTTTCCTTAATATAATTTCAAGGGTCTAAATTTATCTTTCCATGTTCAGTACAAATTGTCACAGTTGGTATGTTTAGCAAAATGATTTCTATTGATTATCCTGAAAATACATCAAACCTATTCCAGATGAAGGAATTCATCCAAGATGATCACTGTAAGTTGGCTCATTACCGGTCTAATGAGTGCGCTCTCTACTTTCCGAGGTAATCCTGCAAAATATATTTTGGTTTCCAGAAATCCATCTGTAGGTTTAAAAAGACTCCCAAGTTTGTTGATATTCATCACAGCTTCTTTAGCTATTTTAATACTAACGCTATCCTCTAATTCTTCCACAGACACCTACAATTAAAAAGACAAAAACCACATCATTACATGTCATTTGAAATAAGAGACTAAAAAATAATATTATTCTGGTAAATAATTGTCTGTAATAGTTTAATGTAATTACAGTCTGTCCAAACCCACTGGAGAGCCTAGTTGTGGTGAGTGTAATAAAACTGGATTTAAGGTGATAGTACTTGATCATAAATTTATAGTACTTTCTTATTTTAATGTTCTTGCCAAGTTTGGTGGTGTACGCCTTTAGTCCCAGCACTTGGGAGGTAGAGGCAGGCAGATCTCTGTGAGTTTGAGGCCAGCCTGGTCTTCATAGTGAATCCAGGCTAGCTGTGGCTATAAGGGAGACCCTGTCTCAAAAAGACCTATATATATATAAATGTTCTTGAGTTTCAATATTCAATTATAAGGTATACCTACAATCCTAGTAAACCATAACAATTTTAAAAAGAAAAGTGAACTGCTCCACCTGAGGAAAAATTTAACTCTTCTTATTTTATAACTGTCTCACAGTATACACATGAAATTGATAAATAACACCTTTGTATTATAAACTAAGAGAAATCAGTATTGCCCAGTGTTCTCTGTAGTATAGTATATACAAATTGTCTTTTTTATTTCAAAATCTAAAATAAGTTCTTGAAAATGACATGCTTAAAATTGAGAATTTTGAAAGTAATTTGGGTTTTAAAAAAACTATTTGGCAGTAACAGTAAGTATGAATAAAAAGTCTCTCTAAGGTCAGCCTGAAGAATGGCCTGCACTGCTCCACGGAAGCCTGCTTCACATATTCCTCAAAAACAAGGCAAGCAGGAGTGAAAAACAACACTGCAGGAAGGAAGTAACTAACCTCAAAAGTAAAACAAGTTTAGTAGCATTTATTAAACCAGTTGACATTCTGTCCTTAATACAACCAAACTGCATTATTTGATGACCAACATTCTGAAAATTTGGGGGCGGCGAACACTTTCAATTGTCACAATGGGTCTGAGTGACGCTGACATGGCAAGGTATTCTGTAATATGGAAAATATCCATTAAAGTAAGTTATAAAATATCCAGTACTCTGAAAACCTGCTAGCCCTACTAGTCAACAGGGAATCCTCATGTTTATTATCTGATCCTGTATATATAAAACAAAAAGTATTTGTTGCATTATTTTAGTACTCAATTTTTTTCAAGAATACAATGATCTTACAAACCAAGGACAGAGTGATGTTTATTTCGTTCAGATCTTACCTAGAGCATCTCACCTATCTGGAAAACCAGAGTTACTAAGAGCAGCACTATTTATACATTGATAACATTTGAGTACTAAAACCCCCAATGCAAGCTTTGACAATGTTACAGTCTCACTTGACTATTTACATCTTGAAATATATGCTATTTTCCTATAAATTACCTTCCTTTTACTTACTTATATACTATGTCATTGTATGGGATTCTATTAGGTATATGTGAATGTAGCTCACATTATTCTACGTATAGAAGCAGCTTTGACAAGTACTACAGTTGTACTTAATTGTTTACATTTTGAAATATATACTATTTTCCTATGAATTACCTTCCCTTATTTGCTTATATAAGAGAAAGATGCATATTTCATTATGATAGTAAAGGAGCACACACACACACGTGTGTGTGTGTGTGTGTGTGTGTGTGTGTGTGTGTATAAGCGCTAATTGTGTGTGTATATATATATATATATATATATGCATGATTTCAGAATAGGTGAAATCATTGATAAAGCTGAACAAGTCTAAAATCATTGACAAAAGTGAACAGTTTTGTGGCATTAAAATACCTCCTTCTGTTGATTATTCAAAAATTAAAATTGAAGGCTTAACCTAAACAATGTCCCTGGCATGTGTCCACTTCTCCCTATCCCACTATCTATACTCTAACTAAAGCTACAGTCTCCTCTGCTCATGGTTACTACAGTGATCTCCAAACTCCTGCCTTTATTCTCCACTGACTAGCTTCCAAAAAGCCATCAGGTTCTGATCAAAATTATCTATAAAAGTGTAAATTAGGCCTGGTGTGGTGGCACATGCCTTTAATTGCAGCACTTGGGAGGCAGAGGCAGGAGGGTCTCTGTGAGTTCAAGGCCAGCCTGGTCTACATAGTGAGGTCCAGGACAGCTGGGGCTACAGGGAGACCCTGTTTCAAAAAAACAAAAAGAAAAAAAAAAAAAAAGAGTAAGTTAGATTCTGTCACGTCTCAAAATTATCCAGGGCCTTTCTTTAGCATAAAATCCAAGTCCTCACTATGGTCCCCAAGGCCTTTAGCCAGGAGGCCAAGTTATAGATCACAGCTCTGACTTCATTTTCTAGCCATTCTCCTCTCCTCTTCCAATGTGTCTGCACTCTTTGTGTTGTTCATCAAACACACCAAACCACCCTCCCCTGTGAGACTCAGAAATTGCCATTCATATTGCACAGAATCATTTTATAATCTCTCCCTTATTTCTCAGGACTTCTCTCAAGCCTCTGCCCAGGTCTGATCTCACCAGGCATGCCTCTCCCAATTCCGTATGCTCACTGGTTCTTTGTGTACACTCAGTGTCATGCTATTGCCTTGCTTTTCTCTTCCCTTACTAATAACCAGCTGACATATCTGCATTTTGCCTCTCACCACTAGAGTGTAAGCCTCCTACGAACAATGACTATCTCATCTACCATTCTCACCTTGTAAAGGATTAGCACAGAGAGTGATCAATAAACAGCTGTTGAATGAATTAGCATACCAGTATTGAGATTATACCAAAATAAGAGATACGATCACTTACAAAGCAACAATAGTTCCTTAGTCATGCTAATTTTATTTAATCATGACATGACCTATGATATTCTTATGAATTAAAAAATATTTCTGGGTCACATTTTATATTTTAATTTCTTATTTTTATTTTTTATTTTTAAATGTGTTTGAACACTTGTCTATCAAAATGCCACACACTCATGAAGCCCAGCACATATATAAAAAGCTGTGAGAACACATAATCCCAGTGTTGAGGAAGCAGAGACAGTAGGATCCCTGAAGCTTGCTGACCAGTCTTGCCAAATCAGTGAGCCCTTAAAAATAAAGTGGAGCTGAGCCGGGCGTGGTGGCGCACGCCTGTAGTCCCAGCACTTGGGAGGCAGAGGCAGGCGGATCTCTGTGAGTTCAAGGCCAGCCTGGTCTACATAGTGAGTTCCAGGACAGCTGGGGCTACAGGGAGACCCTGTCTCAAAAAGACAAAAAAAAAAAAATAAAGTGGAGCTGGGTGTGGTGGTGCTTGTCCTTAGTTCCAGCACTCGGGAGGCAGAGGCAGGCAGATCTCTGTGAGTTCAGGCCAGACTGACCTACCTAGCCAGTTCCAGGCCAGCTGGAGTTACAGGGAAACCCTGTCTCAAAAAAAAGAAAAAGAGGACCAAAATAATAATAATATAATAATGATAATGCTTGCTTACTTCCTATGCCTGCTTGAAGACGTAGAGCCTAGATTCCGCTTCTCCTTCAGCCACCTCTGCCACCATGCCTCCCTACCATGTGGATTCTTACCCCTTTGGAACCACAAGCTCTAATAAATTGTTCTTTCTATAAGCTGCTTTGGTCAGTGTTTCTATCACAGCAACAAAAAAGTAGCTAATACAGTAATTGGTATCAGACAGTTGGCTATTGGCTGTGAAGAATCTGACCATGTGGGGTTTTGGAGGAATGTGGAAGTTTGGGCTAGAAAAGTGGTTGATTTCTGTAAGCAGAGCTTAAGAGGTCATTCTAGTAAACACCTGGAAGAAAGTAGTGCTGAGAACAATGTGGGTCCAGAGGGAAATAAGGACTTAAACAGCACTTGGGATATTTTGGCAGAGTCTGGCTTCTGTCTTCCCACAACTAAAAAGCTTGTCTGAGGCTAAGTTGAAAAGCAATGGACTAATTTCTGGCAGAAGAAATATCAAGACAGCCTAATGTAGAAATGGTGACTTGGCTATTAATACTCAATATTATGCAGATCTCTAGTGAAAAAGAGCAAATGGGGCAGAAAGAAATACAGACTGTATGGTTTGGGTTGAAAAAGAGCACTAGAAAGATAAATGTTGGAGCCCTGGCATGTGCTGGAGAGGACCCCTTTGATAAGGAGATTAAAGTGATTAAGGAGACCTATAGATTTGCATTTAAACAATGGAGAAAGTGCCTCCAGGGCAAGACCACACCCAACTAAGCCTCCAACTTCTGAAAGGAAAATGCTGCAAGGGTCACTGAAGAGAAACTTCTAAAATGGATAAAGCAGGCTGGGGTCCATCCCAAACTTGCAAACAAACTGGTGCTGGCATTAGAGCCATGAAAGATGCAAGAGTGAAGCAATCATCAGTTCTTTCTTCATGGTTTCAGAGAGCCACTGAGGCCAGGCAGTATGCCGCAGGGGATACTCTGTATAAAGAAGGCCCTGATAGGCCATTTTGTGAAGCTGTGTGATGAAGCCTGGTTGGCAATGGAGATCCCAAGAAGATGTTTATGATGCCAGAGCTGTGAGGCATCTGCCAAGACCTGCATATAGGGAGTGGTACCAGCCCAAGAAAGAGATGTATGTTGCACCAGCAAAGCTGGAGAGGCTGAGCCATCTAAGCCTTTTGGAATTAAAGACCCAGAAGTCAAATATGGAGCTACTGGATTTGGTTTGCCCTGCTGGTTTTTGGTCTTGTTTTCATCTGGTATTTCCTCGCTATACCTCTATTCCTCCCTTTTGGAATGGTAATGTGTATTCAGTTCCACTGTACATTGGGAGTATATAATTTGTCTTTTGACTTTACAGTCAAAACTTTGGCTCTGACTTTGACTTACAATTAAGCAATTCCCTGAGTCTCAAGAGACTTCAGACTGTGGACTTTTGAATATTATTAAGACTAGTAATGAGTATGGGGGCTTTTAAGGTTGGACTAAATGCATTTTGCATTTTATATGATCACGAGCCTATGGGGGCCAGGGGGTGGAATGTGGTGGTTTGAATGAGAATGTCCCCCATAGGCTCCAAGTATTTGGACATTTTTGTCCCCGGTTGGTGGCGCTGTTTTGGGAGGTCTTTGAAGGTGTGGCTATGCTGGAGGAAGCATGTCACTGGGAGTGGGCTTACAGAGTTCTTAAGCCTTGCTGGATCTTGAGTTGCTCTCTTGCTTCCTGTGCCCACTTGGAGATGTAGAGCCTAGCTGCCACTCTTCCTCTAACCACCTCTGCCACCATGCCTCCCCACCATGTGGACTCTTGCCCCTTTGGAACCATAAGCTCAAATAAACTCTTCCTTCTATAAAATAATAATAATAATAATAATAATAGTGTGGAAAGCAATAGTGGAAGACACCTGACCTCACCATCTGGCACATGCACATAAATGTGCACACGCTCATGCATCTTATATAGGGAGATTTTAATTAAGACATGAGCATGTCACAAAATAACAGTTTAACAAGAATCATAAACATGGGAGACAGAACATATGGAACTGAATAGTTGCCTCCCAGTCAGCCTTAAAGAGTGGGGCATTTTAAGGAGCGATGGCTCTTGGCTTAGCTATAGTATGCCAAAAGAAGCAATACTCTCCTGTACTTCTCCACACTATGAACAAGGGTAATCTCTTCTCCAAGAAAAGTCTCATTTTTAATTCAGTTGATTAAAGAGAAGACCTCAATTATTAATATAAAGGAAATTTACAGGATTACATGAGCATGTTAGTTTTTTCCATTAAAAAAAATGTATTTATTTTGGGGCTGGAAAGATGGTTCAGCAACTAAGGGCACTGGCTGTTCTTGCAGAAGACCTGGGTTTGAATCCCAGCACCAACATGAGTGTTAACAACTATCCATAACTCCAATTCCAGGGGATCCAATGCCCTCTTCTGTTTTCTGTAGGCATTGCATGACACAGGTGCACTTACACACATGCAAGCATAACACTCATACACATAAAATATAAATAAATTAATTAATTAATAATAATAAATAAAATTATTTTTAAGTATTTGTTTTTATTTTATGTGTATCAGTGTCTTGCTTGCATGTGTGTAAGTGCACCTGTGCATACAATGTCAATGGAGGCCAGAAGAGGGTGTTGTATTCCCTGGAACTGGAGTTAAGGATGGTTGTTAGCACCACAGAAGTGCTGGGAACTAAACCCAGGTCCTCTGTAAGAGCAGCCACTGCTCTTAATTGCTGAGCCATTTCTCCAGTCCAAAAATGTTAGCTTTAAGAACTCTGCTTGCTAAACCTCCTAAATATATATTATTTGTATATTATTTGTACAAAATAGATTACTAATCTATATGGTTACATTTAAAATTGAATTAACTTTTTGATATTGTTACACTATGCATTTCTCTAATTTTAAAAATACTCATAATAATTGAGAATAGTTTCAATGGTCATTGATGTCTTTATATCTGTTGCATGTCTGCTGAAAATTCCCAACCTACAGTGGAGACAATCAGTGTTTATTCAAAGACAGCTACTAAGGAAAGGTACAAAATTAAAGACAGAGAAATTCAAGTAAATAACCAGGAATAACTTTAGTTACAATTAGGAAAGTTTAAATACACTAAGTGAGAAACTGTTTCTTGTGCTGCCCTGGGACTTACAATGTGTAGAATATAATTCACATTTCATTAGACAACCCAACCAAATTTTGTTATTAAAGCATATTAAGCAGATTATGATTTTATACAACTGCGCCAAACAGAAAGATCATTCTCAAATCCATAAAACATACCATATTCCATAGACCATTGTTAATAACATTGCCTCCAGTTGTTATTTGACTTGCATACTCATTCTTAAACTGAACTTCAATCTTTCCATCACGAAGTGCAATCAGGAGCCAAGCCGAGTGATCGAGAGATTCTGCATACAGTATGATGCCTTCTGAATCATATGTCCGGAAATCAAACTCAGCCGAAAATCTATACCAAGAGACACCATCTAGTAAGGAAAGCTTAGTGTATATTAATGTCTTTTCTTCCCTCCTTCCTTCCTTCCTTCCTTCCTTCCTTCCTTCCTTCCTTCCTTCCTTTCCTTCCTTCCTTCCTTTTTTCCTTTCTCCCCTTTTTCCTTCTTTCATGGATTATCTCTGGATCAATATATGTTTAAAAATCTGGTTATCATATTTTCTTGCTTATTCCTGGAGTCCTTTTCTCAGTGAACTGGTACTTTTTCTTACTTTGTGTGTGTGTGTGTGTGTGTGTGTGTGTGTGTGTTAAAGACTTCTTTCAGATGTTGGAATTAATACACATCAATAAATATTAGGTGTATTGTATCTCTCCTAGAACTTTTTGTACACTCTAAATGTAACAGTAAGAGGTGTATATGTGTGTTCACTGAATTCATGAGTATTTATTAAAAGATGTTACAGTGGCATAATTAGTTTATCTGGCAATAGGTATATTTTCTCTGTGATTTCACATTTGTCAGGATGAAATCATCCACAAAGTTTCACAAGATAGCCTTTGGATGACTGCAAATACAATTTAGCCTTCAGATGGTAAAAAATGAAAAAATTGAGGCAGCAACCATTGAAGAGAGGCAGTGATGACTCTCATCAATCACCTCAAGATTGTGTGTCTTCACAGGGGCCACCAGGTGACCAAGAATGTGACCAAGCAGAGGCAGAGAAGCCACCCCGATCACCTCACATAGTTCACCCAGTTTGTGTGGGATAAGATCCGAAAGGTGTGACTTTGCTTAGTATAAGGAGCATGTCACAGTGCTGTTTAAGATGTCCAAGGACAAATGGGTCCTTGAGCTCATCAGGAAAGGGGTGAGAACACAGTCATATCAAAATGAAGCAAGAGAAGCTGAGTAACCTCTTGGTCACCAAGAGGAAAATGGCTATGAAGAGGGTCTGAGCCCCACCTCCCTTCAAGTGTAGTATAAAGTGTTATTGAAAAGAAAGGAAGGAAAGAAGGAAAGGGAAAGGGAAGGGAAAGGAAAAGAGTCAAAAGCTTTCCAAACACTGTAATATTAGAACTTACTGCATCAGAATACTTGAAAGTTAAGCTTAACAAATGTAGTCTAGCTATTTGTTTGGGGGCTTCTGTATTCCAGTAATATCTGTTGTATGTCTGGACATATGTACAGTATAGATATTACAAGGAATGAAAATCTGATGGATTTTGGTGTTGATTTAGTGCCTTAGAATGTTTTAGTGAGAATCAGCATTTAAATCTCCAAGGCACCAGCTAAGTGGTGCCTTGACAAATTAAACAAACTAAAAAGCAGAAGACTGTTGTATAACTATTCATCATATAAACTAAATAAAAGTATTTGAATTACTGGGGCTGGAGAGATGGCTCAGTACACTGGATGCTTTTGCAGAGGATCCAAGTTCAAGTTCCAGCACTTACATGGTGGCTAACAACTACCCATATCTCCAGTTCCAGGGGATCCAACACCATCTTCTGCAGGCATTACATGACATGGGTGCACTCATATACATGCAGGCAATACAGTCATATACATGAAATAAAAACGATAAAGTATTCTTAAAGTATTTGAGTTAAAGAGTCAGGGCATTTGATCATTACGAATAAGTCAACAAAAATCCCACATCATATTGATATCCCATCATTGGTTATTACTGGTCACAGAGGTGCCATTTGCAGTGGGGCATAGACTTTTTTCAAAGGGAACAAAGAGAAAGACAGAATAAGCCTTCCCATCTTTTGAATTTCCAAGTAAATATCTGAAAGAGATGAAATGTGAAGGGAACTGTGTTGGGTGGGTAATGCTACAGCAACAATGCACTGACTCGTTTACATAAAAAAAAAAAATTTCCTTGGCATTAGGACTTCTGTCCTTCATAATTTTCCGAGCATTTGGCTAATGTGGAGCATGGATTATGTTGCCAAAACCCAAATCTGTGTTTGGTCAGGATCCTCCAGAAGTTGATCCTATTACGGAGATAATTTCCTTTTCTTTGTAAAATAATGCTAAAATGCTATTTCAAAGAGTCATGCTGTGCATATGTTCTTTCTGGACTATATCATCCACATCCTGACTCATTACATTGGGGAGCAATTCTCTTTCAGAAGTATTGCAGAGTTGAAAAAGGACAGAATTTGTTAACATTTGGCAGGGGATGGGAAGCAGTTGGTTATGGGAAACAGAGGTGAAGGAATTTATTTTAAGCAAGTCTCTATAAATATTCATCAGACTGTACATTTAATATATAATATATATTTCTATAAAGATATCAATCAGGCTTCTAAAAAGTGCAAAGTGAACAAATTAATACAGAAACCAAGAAACACATTTGGCTAATTCTGAT